AATCATGCTTCAAGGGTATGTGTTGAGACAAAAGTTGAATGAAACGGTGATGGTGAGACGCACTTTTTATTTACACAGATCAGATTATACAAGTACCGCTCATCGTCTGCGATCTTGATGCTTCCCTACCAGCCATTAAATTTCCAGTTGTGTTGAGCTTGACGGATATTTTGGTTAGGCGCAGAGGTAAATAAATCCCCCAAATAGGATGTCCCGTAATTCTTCGACATTGATTTTAACGTTATTAGGTTCACTGAATGCACTTGGTCAGGTATTCACATCAGATCGCGAGTTGATATGCCGTGTTGCGCATCCCTTGAAACTACTATCTGGCTTAGATTAAACGCTTGTCGACATATCGACATCTTTACATACATATATATTTAAAGCTCTTCACTTCTGAATTCTGATTTTACTGGATTGGCATTTTCCGACTATAAAGATGTTACAGACAAAAGTGTTATGAAAACCCGAATATCCGTGGCATCTTTATAGAGTTCGGTATCAAGACACTCACCCTTTTCAATCTTTCGGAACAATTAGTCTTCAGTCTTCAGTAATAAGGATAGAAGGTCTAGTGACCTATTTTAATCCTTGCAGTTTGTTACACTGTGGAGGTCCAATCTCGTCTTGAATATATCAACAGAAGGTGCTGATATTACGTGTTCTGGTAGAGAATTCCAGTAATTCACTACTCGGTACGAGAAACGAAACTCCAGACGTAGACGATTTGATCTCGGTTTTTGGACTTTCTTTGAATGTCCTCTCAAATGATCAGCCCTAGACGGGAGGAAAAGATAGGACATGTTAGCACCAAGGTCATCGTTCAGGATTCGATATGCCAATATTAGATCACCCCGTATTCGCCGGTAAGATAACGGAAATAAGTTGAGGTGTCTCAGTCTGTCTTCATAAGATAGGCTAGATAAGCCTTTTACCATTTTTGTCCCGCGGCGTTGGACTCGTTCCAACATATCCGCCTCATATTTGAAACAAGGACTCGCTGCTTGAATCCCATATTCCAAATGTGGCCGTACGAAAGTTGGGTATAATAATCTAAACATTTCCCCATCCAGATACCGGAAAGATCTACGAATAGACCATAATGCCCTATAGCCTTTTGCAGCAGCAGCCTTACAGTGACTGGTTGTTTTGAGATCATTACTTAGTATGACTCCTAAATCTTTATAGTTTCTTACTTTGGGCAACACTAGTCCACATAATGTGTAGTGATACGAATCATCGTAGTTATTTAATTGCATCACAACACTTTTATTAGGGTTTACTTCTAGTGACCACCCATTCATCCATGCAACTAGTGAGTTGAGATCTTCCTGTAAAACTATTCTGTCTGACATACTATATATGGGTCTCCAAATCTTAATGTCATCGGCGAATAGTAGGACGGATGACTTAGCTATAGCTGGTAATTCATTTATATAAAGTAAAAAGAGAAGAGGACCTAAAATCGTGCCTTGGGGACGTCACTTTTTACAGGTTCCCACGATGAGAGAGCCCCATTTACTCTTACCCGTTGTCTCCTTTCATGAAGAAAGTCACTTAGCCAGTCTATGACCGCATAATGAATTCCAAAACTTTCTAGTTTCAATTTAAGACCAGAATGGGAAACCTTATCAAAGGCTTTACTTAGATCTATGAAAATGACATCTACAGGAATATTGCGATCTTTTGCCTCAGCCCAATCTTCTCTTGCAATGAGAAGATTTGTCAAACATGATAGACCTTTTCGAAAACCATGTTGTTCCTTTGAAAAAAGATCATGTCTTTCCACGTAGTTTATAACAGCCATCCTAATAATTTTTTCCATTAGTTTTACAACTGCACTAGTTAAGCTGACGGGTCGATAGTTACTAACTAAATCCCTACCCCCAGTCTTATACACCGGACTGATTATTGCGTCCTTCCAGTCTCTGGGCAATCTGGACTGCCGTAGGGACATATCAGACAGCATTGCTAAGGGTTCAGCAATAACATATGAGAGGGCTTTCATAATCCGAGGATGAATATCATCAGGACCACTAGACTTATCAGGTTTGAGATGCTGAAGTAGGCTTAAAACAGTTTATTTCTTAGTAACTACAGGGTCCATCAACAAGTCGCCACAATCACAATGAATATGTGATCGTTCCTCATTATTGGTAGAAAAAACTTTACTGAAATATTCCGAAAAAGCTTCCGCTTTTTCGGTATCATTTCTTGCCAAACTTAACGGATTTTCTTGTATCAAAAGTGATGGTATTCCATCACTTCTCTGAGTTCGCCTCTTTATATACGAGAATAACCGTTTTGGACTATGTTTGCAATCCCTAACCAATTGTTTTTCGTATGACCGTCTAGTTCTACTAATTAACGCTTTACAATTATTTCTAATCTTACGATAACTAGATCTGTACTGTTCTAAGCCAGTAGAGATGAACATGTTCCAGTGTTTTTTTCTACACCTAAGGAGTTTCTTAACTTCTTTATTTATCCACGGTGGACTATTGTTTGGTCTACTTGGCACCAAGTATGGTATGAACGGGGACGTGACTGCACTAAACTTGCCTTTAAATACAGACCACGCCTCATCAACTGATGAGCTAGTATCTACTGACCAATCTATCTTAGTAGCACAATCCTGAATTTCTGGTATGTTAGCTTTCCATATGTTTGGGCGAGGCTTAATCTGATCGTATATCATATCGCTAGCTCTAAACGTGAATGATAAAACAGCGTGATCGCTATTTACTAACGGGGGAAGAATATTTAGGTTGGCAATATCCTCAGTCTCATGAGTAATTACCAAGTCCAACAGAAAAGAACCTTGGTTTACACCAAAACGTGTAGGTTTGGATACATGTTGTACTAATGCATGTTCCATTACTGTTTCCAAGAGCCTGCTATCAAATGAGTTTATAGAGCATTTCGTGGTCATCTCAGTCCAACTAATGTCAGGTGCATTAAAGTCTCCTAATATCAAGCATCTGTTATTTGCACTCCATAGCCGAATGTGCTCTAAAATAAAGTCATCAGCTAAGCAGATTGGGCTGCGATAGATGACACCGAGTGCAAATGTACAACATCCGACAGTGAGTTCACAGCTAATGGCTTCACTAGTTCCACTATCATGGGATTCGCAAACGGAGGAGCGGATATTTATACTATTGGCTATGTATAGAAGGACGCCACCTCCTTTCCTGCATCTATGTCTATCACTTCTTAAACAATGATATCCGGATAATTCTGGGGTGATATCGAAGTCATGGACTAACCAAGTTTCCGTCACAGCTACAATGAATGGCCTTAATATGTCCACTAATGTTCCTAGCTCGTAGAATTTATGTTTTAGACTACGGGCATTGGCATATAAAACTCCTAGGGGGAACGACCTATCCACACAGGCCTTGGTAGCATTCGCTTCCAAGACCTAACTATTCGAAAACCCACCAATCGGAGATTTTCTTCACCGTTTTGTCGACGGGTTTCTAGTTCAGCTAGTGCCGTCTTCCTTTTTATTCTATCTTCAAGAGATACATCCGGTCACATTCGAATATCAGAGTTGTCGTGACTTCGAGCGTTACTTAACAGAAGATTACGTTGTTTCTCCGACCCTATGATTACCTTAAGGAGTCTACACGGTCGGGGTAGAACACTGTCATCGGCTCTTTTACCTATTTTAACTAATTTTTTGACCTGAACACCTTTAGTGTTATCTGGTAATATGCTACGGATATATTCTCCGAGCCTCTCTAAGCCATGGGTGTGTCTAACCTTAGGATCTGGATCGTTAGACTCTGGCAATTTACTCACAATAATATTCGATGATATTAAATTCCTCTCAGTCGCACTAGGATGATGATCTGCCGTTCTATCAGAGTGCGATAATGCATTGAGTGACTCAGACTTTGAGTTCCTCAATGGCTTGTCAACCAAGTGTGCTTTATCATTAGCTTTTTTTCCTTTCCTTTTCCTCTTTACTGCGGTCCATTTTTGGTCATTCAGGACAGCTGCATTGGGACTATTGGGGACGGTGACGGTTTTATCTGGGTCCTCAATTTCTACTAAAGATACATGATTACTCATGTCAATACCATGTGGTGATTTACTCCTCGTTGGTTGTAACGGAAGTTTCACTTCGTCATTAATTAGAGTAGGTTGTTCAGCGCGTTTTGTAACAGCACTTACAACACTGACACAGTCTTCACTGTCAGTGCTTGCGTTACTAGCGCACCCACTATCTTTCTTTTTACAGGCTAGAGCCAATAGGCTCATAGCCTCTTGAATTAATTTCGTCTTGTTAGTACAGCAGAACATACAAAGCCAGTGCGAGTTAGGCTTAGAACATCTTTTGTATGCAGCTGGACTGAGACGGGTACACATCTTGTGGTACCATTTTTTGCATTCATCGCACTGCATCCCTTCATCTACGGGGAATAAACAGTTCGGCTGTCCACATTTGAATGAACTACCAACCATTGTAATCAGATTAGGTTTAAAAAACAATATGATCACAATAATAGCACAAGCGTCAGAGTATATGCAAAAGAAGGAACCAAGAGACAAAGTTTTCAATAAAATTTCAAACCTTAACTAGATTAATTCAAGTTAAAGTAGACCAAGAATGCTTTTGATACAGCAAATACACAAAAGCAACGATAATCACAACAAGTATGAAAGTCACTGCCCTTTTTGAAACGCGCGCGATAGTTCGGCTGTTATCAACCAGATAAATCCCCTGCCTTCTGAGCAGCTTTGTTAGATCTCAACAAGATTTTAGGGTTGCGGTAGGTATAAGGAAGCTTCCTTATTTAGTTCACTGGGCAACGTCATTACGAAATGATCAAATTAGGCACTTTTTAACTTTCTGTGCCTATAAAAAATCGATAAAAGGGTAGTTTTGTTATGTTTTTGTGTTATTTGGCCATACGGAAAAGTACCTAGTAAACTAAATCACATTTTGTTTTTCCTAGTTACTAACCTTCATCAATTTCATCTACTCTAAAGGCGGTGGTCTGGAGTTTTCATGTTTGCGATGGGGCGGTTGTGGGGGATTTTGGGTTTGTTTTTAATTTTGACCGTAAACTGTCAGCCATCTGTAAATTCGAGAGAGTATCCTAATACTGCGCAAGCAGTTAGCGAACAGTTTATGCACCAAGAGATCAATGCGAATACACCCAGTGAAAATCTTGATGCGTATTCTACTTATTCGTCCTCAGTAGTTTCAGATGGGAATCATATAAGTCATCCAACAGGCAAAAAGCCTAGTTATCTCGATTCATCACATCTTCATGAGGCATCGCCACGTAGTCAAGACCCATCGTCATTGGTTGGGGAAAGTATTCAATACACACATGGGCTGTCAAAGGATAGTGAACCTCAGAAAAATAATATAAGAATTAGCAGTCACGACTCGATCAGTAATGTGGCAAAACATGATCACAATTCGAATGTTTATATTGATGAAGCACGTGGCTCCAATCATGACTCCTCCATTGTCAATCAAGACCATGACCAGTCGGGTCCTAGTCATGATGTGTATACAAGTATGCATAAAAAGACAACTCGTAATGCTCAACAGATACCGCCGGCGCCTAATAATCCACTCCCCGACATGTCCCGTGAACAACAACCGAACCCAGCTGGTCAATCACATGATATCAATCACAAGGATATCGTGTTGGACAGCCGTTTGTCTCATGGACAAGTGCCAGGTGCTAGAATAAACCAGCCACCAACAAACTATTTTCATAATGGACTTGGCTCTATGGTGTCTAACCATGGCCCCGAGTTGTCCGAACGCCGTCACTTCCATGCTGACAAGGAACCTCGGTTTAGAGATCCTAATGAAAACACTGGATCGAGATCTCAGTGGGAAACCGGGGATCAAAGTAGTCCTCATGATAAACCCAAAAGGTCGCGGAGAGATACTTCATCGGAGTACCACTTGGATGAAATTTTTTCCTTACCATCACGTGAAGATCCAATACAGAATCAGGCTGATTTTGTTTCTTTGGTAGTAATTGTACCTCCCGGAGTGAAGCATTGCTACTTCTATAAACCAATCACTAACTTTGATGTTGAATATCAAGTAATTCCCAGTTTGAGTGTATTACTTTACAGGTTCTTAAAGGAGGTCATTTAGATATTGGCATATTCATTCGGGATCCTGAAGGAGAACCAATTACTATCCGACCACCGCTATCTGACTCCCAAGTTTCGTAAGTTAATCATACCAGTTTTGAGTGGCAAGCGAGTTCGTTAACTTTCTATGGGCATGTACGCACATAGGAACATATCTTATGACAGTTTTCTGGGAATCATTGAAAGCCAGTCTTAGTTCTAGTATTCCTACTAACGAGACTCCGTTCACTGGTAAACTTATTTTCACTCATGTTGACTTTATATAATATATCGATAAGTCACTCTAAAATTTAATAGAGATAGGTCCTTTAATGCACCTGTAGCTAAGTCATCTAAATAATGTTAATTGAATACTAATGTATTAGTCAGTATCTCGACTTTTGATAATGTGTGTGTTACATTCAGTTTTATTTTTGCGAGTTATTTGAGCTTGTGGTATATTCAAAGGTCCACTGAAGATTTCAGGCATGACTCAACAGTAGGTGAGTAAAATTAGGTATTTGAGATTTTCCGTCTCATTTTCCTGTTACACATCCAGTTAATGACTGATTGTCTCTCGAATATCCAACGTCGACTTTGTTTTGGTAGAACCTTAATGAAGTTATCATAAGAACTGCTTCTGGACAAAGATAACTTATTTAAATCAGATTATCCTCAAACAAGTAAAGCGATCTGATGAGCTCAACAGTGTTTCAATATAGGTTTTCTTCGTCTTTTTTAAGCAGCTTATATGAATGAAAACAATGTGGAAAGAATTATACGAACCATACTCATAGCCAGTCCCCATTCAATTTTCGTGTTACGTAGCTTTGCCATTCAAGGCATTCATAAAAATGTTCATTAGTCAGCACTGTGTTGTCAGTAAAAGAGTTTTCAGTTGGGATGTAATCCTCAAAAAGCAGAAGAAAGTGTCTTCTGGCACTATGCTTGTGAGAGTGAAAATGTGGAAAGCGAAAAGCCTCGACCGACCATTACATATTCGGAATTTTATTTTGAGAGTTAAGGTCAAAAGTATTTTTGAATTCTTGATAACCTCTGTATTAAGTAGCATGAAAGACTTAATAACACTAGCCACCTCATTGGTATAAAAAATGAACGAGGTCAATTCAAGTAACAGTTTAGCATAAGATCTAATTCAACTGTGTTCAGGTAAATAGTTCCCAGTAAGTTGATGTAGTTCGTACTCTAAAACTGGGTTTAGAACCTTCCTGGTTTTTTTCTGGTTTTCTTTTATCCTATCTATCTAGCCATCGGATGATTATAAAGTCAAAAGCCTAGAAACTTGATTAAACTGGTTCCTCTGATCACAAGAATATTCTCTCCTTTATAAACCGGGAAGATCAGCCGTAATAATGATCTGTGTGGTAGACTACCGTTCAGATTTCAAACTAGCTAAAATCCCGGTTAATCTAACAGAAAACTAAATAAATACGCTCCGGAACTTTTGGATTTTACATACTGAAGAAGCTGGCCTTCTTAGCTTCAGGTCAATTATGAACTTTTAGCCTCAATAAGGGTTGGATGCCCAATGTCAATTTCTTATGGGCTTTTTGACCTTAAGAGTAGTTTTATTGCGTTATGACGTTTTTTTTTAAGGCTGTTTGCCTTATTTTTCCAGATATATGGTGTACTAGCGAGTCACATTTGTCTTCATTCTTAATGATTCTAATCGACTGTTCAGTTTTGTCGGTTGAAATCTCTATTTCTATTTCTTTTGCCTTCAATACCCATCATTGGCCACAGTTATTGGAAAGATTTAGCAATTTGCATTATAGTCACTTCTGTTCGTTATCGCTTTTGCATCAACTATCAACTATCTCCAACCACCTAACATAAAAACCTCATACAATGCCAGTTAGACTAGTGGTCACATTGCAATTTGACGAATAGAATTCAGTCATCATTAATATCTAGAAAAAGGTGACTGGTTACCATTCAGTGATCAGTCAATGCCAGTCACTGATGTTTTCACTCAAGTTCAAATAAGTCTTCCTCTTTTAGCGTTTTATGCAACCAGTAGGGTTCAAACGAGCATGTGCTTTCACAAAAGCATAAATTTTCTTAAATTATGGATGGTAGTGATATAGCTTATTGATGTTAAGTGTTTATATTAATGCCAGCGTTCACAAACGAAATGATATCTTTTTCTATGCTTATACGTTACAACTATTGGGTAGTCAATAGTGGTGTGTATTGTAGAATACTATTTCGAAGTGGTAAATTAATTATTGAGGTTGTATGTTCTTATGACTATGATGCACGTTACACATACACACGTATTATATACTTCGTTTCACCATACCCGGCGTTGGAGTAGGTTCAGATATAGCTACCGCTGACCAAAAAGAGTCATTTTACTAACTGTTAATCTAATCTGTGTAGTGAAGCAGTTTGAGTCAGCAATAAAATTACTTAGTAGTTGAAGATGAAGACTTCATCTCCAATATCATTTCAAAAAGGCGTTTTTACTCGCTTACAACCTTACTCGTGGATTACTTGTTAAAGTGCTTTGGGTGGATCTCATTTTACTGTGCATGTAATATATTGTTAACATGCTTTTTTCTTTATTTTCAGAATATCTGTTCCGAAATACTTCCGTCTTATGCCATACGCAATTTGTCTAGACAATAGAAAAGCTAGTTATGCGTATAAAAATGTCTATTTCTCTGTAGATGCTAATTTAAATTGGGACAATCCTAGTGAACTGGAACGACAAGCAATAGAAACGTTACGTAATAACCCCTTGGTGAATTCACAAGCACAAGCAGCAAGTGCTGAACATGCGGAAAACATTGATAAGCTTATGGTTAGTTGCTTTTGTGAATTAGACAAATATTTTTCATTTTCCAGCATTGATTTAATCGTAACTACGCCTTGCGCTTAGCTAGTGAAGTATTCATCACCTATGACTATCAGCGGTCTAACCCCTACAAGAAACCGAAAGAACCGACTAAGAATCTTGGGTTTCTATTCTAACAGTTCTTAAAGGATCTCATTCTACCCAAAAAACAGGACAGAAAACGTTTACGGTTTTGAAAAAAACAAAAATAGGAAGTTGTCTCGTAGTAGCATGAGCAAAGATTGTAAGCAACGATGGATAGTAGCTAGCAGTGGAATCCAGGACGCGTGTTTCGTCCTATTTGGGACTCGTCAGCTGGATGTACCTGCATCTCAGAGTTGATGTTCACTTTGAGACTCGAACTCAGTACCTTTCGCTTCAAACGCCATCGCGTTATCCACTCAGCTACTGAGTCCTGATAGCCACTTGCTTATGCAAGATTGGTCAGTTGCAGTCCTAAACCTCAATGGAAAGATTCAAACAAACAATACTAAGTGAATGAGCAAAGATGTTCAAATATACAGTTCAGATAATAAACAAACAAAAATGTTCAACAGGACTGTCACTGACTCAAATTCCAATTAATGTGTGATAAATTTTGAGTCTAAATTTTGTTCCATCAAGATTTATTTATTCTCCTGCAATCTGGTCACGTCTTTGCCTTTCCTACTTAGTTCCACTAGTAAGACTACTTGGAAAATCTCATATTGTGTGTTGAGAATCACTAGTTGGTTTGTTTGGTTTGTAATTTACAGCTGGTAGCTGGAATATATATGTAAATACCAGAAAGGAAAATTCAACACTAAAGGCAATCAGTGTCTAATGTTGTCATATTCGTAGTTTTGACACCTACGTTTCATTATGAATGACAATCGTCCTTTTTTATTGTTTTTTACCCATTTTCAGTGTTTTACTTTCTAATAGTAGTTGTCATGGTTTGATCATTAATACTGTGCTTACACTTTTTAAAGTACTGTCTTTCTATCTGTAAAGCAAGTAACCGCGCCTAATTTGGGTTTCAGTATCGTCTAATGTTATATATATATATATATATATATATATATATATATATATATATATCACTTCAAGTAGTTGTAAAACCTGTTCATTTCTTTTATAAGGCACAATTGGATATATTATTTGGTCGTTTACGGCGCATCGAGCATATGCAACAACGTTCTAGTAATTTTGACTCTGCAGATAAATCATTGATGGAAGAGAACTTAGAGCGCATCACGACCGGCTCATTGTTTCAAGTTGTTCTTATGATTGCTGTAGCAACCGTCCAAGTTGGTCTTATTCGATCTTTATTCGATCAAAAAAGTTATTTTTATAAAATCTGGTTTGGAAAAAGGTCTCAAAACTTAAATGCTCGTTGTTAATATTGCATTGATTCGGTCAAACATTCTAGTCTATATTTGCCTTTAATTTGGTTTCCTTAACATCGAAATTTATTTATGCATTTGTTTTGTTTTGTACACTTGAAATATTTTTTTTTGATATATATGTATTCAATGTCCGTTTAAACATGATTTTTCTGCTGTTAATTGGCGTCTATTTCATTTAATAGTCTGTATTTTCTCTTGCATTTGCTATTTCGAAATACAATATCTCTGTAATAAAGATTATGGTCATTTGTCTTCAGTTTTGTTTTCACTACTTGTTGTGTCCTATTATTGATTGCTTAAATTTGTATACCTAAAATAATATTTTCCTTGTATTAGATAGAAAGAGTGGTTAAACCAAACGACTAGTCGATCTTATTTATTGTCGACTGTGTTTTGCAAATAAATACTTGATTTCATGTCTTAGTATATCTGTGACAATCGTGTCTACATTTGTTTCATCAGATTACCCTAACCTTTTAACGGATATTCTAGGTTGAACATATTCACTACATCAAGAAGCTCTTAGCATGTATTAATGTCTTTCTCAGGACTGACACCGAATTCTCAAAGTTTGAAGTACATTGAGTTAATCTGTGTTATTTTGCATTTCGATTCGGAGGTCTTACGGTTATTTCACCTCCTATAGTCATCGTACTTGACACCAGTTTTATTCTCACTGGCACTTTTGTTTAGATTGTATGGGTTTTTTGCTTTTATTGTCTGATAGTTTAGTGATAAAGATTAACAGCAACCAATTTCTGTTCCACTTTTTCGGTGGAGGTTAGGTTTCACTGCTCGATATTTTGTAATAAATTTTCTCAAGTGTGTGGTAAAAAGGAATACCCAGATAGTTTTGTGATGTGTTTATTGCACGTGGTTTAGATTAAAAATACAGTCAGCACGCGTTTGGTCATTAAATACAAGTGGGGGGGGGTGTTTTCATTTTCACTTCAATAATCATTATAATACACGCCACATAAAACATATTATTAATTCTCTATACTCTAAGGAGTTTGGACTTTTGTTCTCAAAATTAGTAAGTGATTCTGTTTTATTTCTCGCTGTCAGGGTTGATTAATTGTTGGTAATGGATGGTCAGAAGCACCGAAGTGTCATTACTTTAATGATAGCCCTAATTTTCGTTAGAAATATGCATTATTAGTTTTGTAAGAGATCTACATTTCGTTTTCTAGACAGATTTTTTCACTTCCGTATATTTTGATTTCTTGCATGAAAATCATGTTAATAAACGATCATTGTTGGCAAATAATCGCACGTTCTGTACATCTTAGCCGTAAGAAGTTCTGCGTAAAACAAGTAGGCATATCAGTTGTTAATGCCCCCAAATGTCCTGGTACGGCTAAGAGTGGGGAGAGTCCGCTCTCCCTCTCCAAATGCTCTCACATGACCACGCGTATATAGCCTCTGTCAGGGAAGTCCTACTCTAGTGGCGGGGGTGTTCTTTACAAAATTGAGAGGACGAAAAGCGAATGTCCGGCGCTTTAACCGGGTTGGTGGACACGGATAGTCCACCTAGGGGAGTTGGAAAACCCTGATTCCAAACCAATGGTGCACATGGGCTGCAATGTCCTGAGGGAACAAATGGCGTATTAATCAATCGTTGGTCACCGGCTACCATGGGACTGCATGTCCTCACGATGCTCCACTGCATTGTGGATCAGGCCTTCAGGTCAAAGCTTCGGGGTGTGGCCCCCTAAGGAAAATACCTGCTTCGGTTTGGACACCCGGGCAGTATCACAGCCCTTACACAAATGAAATGAGATCTGGTTCCCCCGTTGTGCCAATATTTATGTGTTTAAATCAATCAGTCAGTTGTTAATACTTTGGTTCATTTTGCACTAGGATATACAACATTTCGAAGTGATGTACTAGATTGTCACCTGTTAAAGGTAGTATGTTTGGGTGTTCACAGATGTTTCATCATCTGTATCATGTTAGAAATTATTTAGCCGATAAATAAGTTAGTATATAATCTACTAAACGGTTTGTAGAAAAAAGTATACTTGATAATAAATCCTTTGTGATACTTGCTTTCCTGATGATTTTTCGGAAATGAATTATTATCCTTGCTTAGATGGGTCAAACTACAGAAGTTACTAGTAATGATGACGAACTGTGGAAAACGGCATCAGAAGCAGGAGAAAAGTTCAGTGCTTTGTACTATCGTGCTTTTGACAAGCCGAACAGACCCGATTTGCCTGGTTTTTTTATGGATAATGTTGTTCTTCTATGGAATGGGAATCGCGTGGAAGGTCAACAACTAGTGATTGACTTCTTTTCTAAACTTCCAGACAGTACATGCACCTTACACTCGTTATCTTGTCAACCAGTACATAGTAAGTTTGCACTTGATGAATTGGTACTTATTCCCAATTTTGTAATTTGTTATATACAACATTAAGTTTCATTTTACTATCTTTAGTTACTAGGATTTTAGATTTCGTTTTATTTAGCTGTTGGATGATTTACTGACTTTTTAAACTCAAGCTTAACCATTGAGTATTTAAAAAACATAAACATAAAAAACGTACAGAATTAATGAGAAATAAAAAATTATGGGGATAATAATCTGGGCTTCTAAAGCACATCAAAGATAGGGAAGTAGTCGGAAGAAACGATTGTTTTTGAAGAAGGAACTGTATGGAATATCACTTAATGTGACTAGAATGTTAACTAAAAAAATTTGTTTATCGATAAATGATACTTCATATTGATTTAGGATATATTACAAGCCATATAACATAGTTTTCAATCATGACATGCACCTTGGTTACTGAAGTTGGATCAAATAGCGAACGAATTCTAGTTTTTAAAGTGGACGAGTACCATCTGATGTTAAGAAAACATATTATTAAATTTCCATATACTGATTATCAGTTTAGTTTGTTGTTTTTTATTTCCACAGATTTTGACTGCAACAGCTTTTTAAAGAACAATTAGTGTTATAGTTATAACTGAATAGATGATCATGCAAACTACTGTATATCTTGAATGTCTTATTCCTTAATAAGTAGATTTAGTGTAAACTAACCAAGCCAAGCCTATTTCAGGTGGATAGTTCATGCATTGATGTGATTGTCCTCTTGATTTCTATTTATAGGTTAACCTTAAAATAAATATTTACTTGGTTTGGCGCATGAGTTGTTATTTCGTTACCAAAAAGCATAAACTACTTGGCGCGTCGTGTCATGATTAGATAAAGGAATGCGAATCGATGACCCTTATTTACTCCTATTGCCTAAAACCGTATACTCGATAATATCTGGTCTTATTTTCTCTGGTACATATTTGTTAATTGTTTGGACCTCATCATTGTTAATAATTGTTCTTGTTTTTCATCTTTAGAAAGCCTAAGCGGTGACCGATTATTGGTTTTGGTAAATGTGTTTGGTACTATTAAATTTGAACAACATCCTACCCACATTTTCTCCGAAACATTTTTCTTAACACAGGAGTCAAATTTATGGAGGGTACAGTCAGTTACATTTCGCTTCATCGACTAATCCTTATAGTTTTGATGTTGATAGAAACATATTTTTCGTATTCTTTTTTGATTTTGGGAGAGAATAATTGTATTACTGTCATATATTTTCTTTATAATTTTTGAATGTAGTACGTCAGTTATCCAGGGATTTTGTAATATATTTGGTTGTCGTTAGAAGTTCATTTGTTGTAAGCTAATAATGAGAACCTGTGTTTAAAATGAAAATTATCATTTGTTGCAGTGGTTTTACCACTATTATGTGTATATATTTTATCGGTGTGTGTGGCGATGTAATATTGTTCGGAAATCAAGTTAAATACAGAAATATTCAATCACAAATGTTGAATAAACTCCAAAAAATACGTGTATATTCGAAGATAAATGTAATTTCTTAAGACTTTCTCAACAATCCAAGTAGATCTTATTCCAAATGCTTCGTTGCAGATTCGTCTGTACATTTATACTGTAATACTGAATTTTTGATTATTCATTTCGCCATCAATATACTTCGCACAAATAAGCATGTTTGATTTAGTTAACATATGACCCATTGGACTGCCTAATTACTTGATTTTATTGTCTACTAAATAAAGAAGTATGTGGTTTTCTTTTGTTTTCAATTTATAGTACATCATAGGGTTTCTTTATTTACCATGAAGATCCATAATTGTTCATCAATCAGTCAGCTACAACGTAAGACCAGGCACATATATGCATCGGTCCAAGTTCCTACACCTCATTCACATAACAAATTCGTAGAAATAGTTACTTCAATGGTGGTAAAAAAACATGTCATCTAACAATATGATACAGGTAGAAACAATTAGTTCGTAGAAAGAAAGGTATAAAGCAATTTTAATCTCAAGGTTTAAAGGAAGAAAAAGAGTGTATACACCTACTCCATTTTGATCGATCCTGAGCCATGTCACCCATAACCTCCAACCACTAGTTACAATAGTCGCGCGGACCCCAACCAAGTAGTTTGCATCTACCAACATGGCTCAGACCACAAGTCAGTGACTTCAAGCACTGATGCTGCGTTTTGGTTTGGCCGCCCCTAAGTTTCTTCCGTCTCTAACACTAGTCAGCATTGCGCGTCGTGGTAATCGGTGTTCAGGCATACGTAAAACGTGGCCCAACCATCTTAGTGGGTGCACATCCACAATCATTCCCTAATATCATGCGTCTAATCTCACTATTACTTACACAGTGATCCCAACAGATGTGAACTATATTTCTAAGACATCTGCCAACAAATACTAATAGCTTGCGAGTATCTTCTAACCTTAATGGCCACGTTTCGTAGCCGTAAAGTAAAACAACGAACTGTAGAGCAGTATACTCTCTTTAATGGATAGACCGATATCTCTCCTTCTCCATAGGTGACGTAAGATGGAAAAGTCAAACGAGTTTCCTGAAACCGTGCGGAGATTTCGTCAGACACCAACCAATTAGAGTTGGTCAGACTTCCAAGATGAGTGAAGCTGTCGACGCATCCAACTACTCCACTCCATATCTTAAGTTCAGATGTTGATGCAGACCAGTCAAGAAGCAGCAACATGCATTTAGAAGGGGGGGGAAACGCATCTCAAACATCCTGGCATTGTTGCTCTGTGCTACCAAAAGACTGCATTTTATCAGCGTCTTCACCAAACAGAACTATATTATCTGCGTATTCTAAGTCGATAAGTGGACTTCCTGGTAGGAGATCAATTCCTGAAAATTCAGTCGACGAGAAAGTTATTTCCTGCAGTAGGTCTATAATGAAATTGAACAAAAATGGAGATAGTGGACAGCCTTGTCGGACACTACTTGAGGTCGCAAAATCAGATGACAGTTCGCCATAAGCGCTCACTCGACTGGTAGTGTTCGAGTAAAGAGCCTTCACAAGGTTTATGTACTTTTGAGGCACACCTTTGAATGACAGACGCTGCCACAGAACCTCTCGACCTACAGAGTCAAATGCTGCTTTTAAGTCAGGAAAAACTATCATTGTTGGATGTCGGAAAGCTCATTTCAATGTTTCATTCAGGCTATGGATGACTACACTAGGATCCTGTATGTGTGCTTCCGAGATTCTAGGGTTTTATCCTGAGAGACCTGCTGGCTGATTTGACATAGGGTACGTATGTTGAAGGTCCCAATGTATAGTTTGGAGCAAGGTTTCAATAGACCTGGGACAGTGTTTCGCGCACTAGAATCGTTGGCCATGGTGACATTGAGGAGGAAGCCAAAAGAGAAAGTTTAGAGTTGATGGTCGAGGTAGGAAGAGTAATTGGAAATGAAGAGGGAAACTGATTACAAATATAATTTCTACCCTGTTCAAACGTGCTTCGATTTGGGGACTTGTCGAACTTGTACTTAAATAAATAACTTGTGTCCAACAATACTAACCAATAGGAATAGCTGGGTCATAGTAAGGAGGAATTATATAACAGTTATAACAGCATGACTGCAGTGCCAAAGGACAAGTGCTTGAGGACAGTTACGCTCGTCCTTTTTGTGTTAATTCCGTGCTTGTTGAGAACTAACTGTCAGAGACGGAAATCCGTGGGATTAGGCGAGGTGTGCATTTTTCGGGTCGAATTTTTCTAACTCCACCTTTCCTCTGTGAAAAGACAGCAGCGTCTTCTATGCTGGTTATCTGAGGCAAACACCTTACTGCGTCACACCCCTGCGCAGTCAGTAGTATGACTTTGCCTTCAGACCTTGAGTTTACTGCTTTTAGTCTTACCGCTCTTCAACCGACAGGTCTGGCATGGTGGGACATTAGGGAACGATTGTCGCAGCCCGATTGGTTCATCACGATAGGAAAGCCCGACCACCACGTTAAGGTAGTAGCAATGGTCGGGATAATCGTTCACATTTAGTGTTTCGCTTAC